CTTAGATATCACGTTTCAGTGAGTCAGTACAATCAGAATCCACTTCCCAATATACGTTGGTAGGCAGAGTCACATGCTTCCAGTGCTTTCTTTGTGGCCAGTGTTTTTAGTATATTGATTCCTGAAGTATCTGATGAACCTAAATTTATAACGGTTGCAAAGAACAGATCATAGAGGACTTCGAGAACTTTGGGCTGATGCATCAACTAAGGATGTTAAATTGCGGTTAATTGACTAGTCGAGTAGTCGATAGGCACTTCCATATTCCTCCTTTGAAATGTACAAGAGCCCCAGCAAAGGAGGAATGCGGAACTCTGGGTGCAGCCCAGAGCCAGCAGGAAGTCCCACTGACTCCAGGCTGCATGCAGACATGCCTGCTTTGAAATGTACACATGTCCTCAGCACGGGCTCTTGTGCATTTCAAAGCCATGGAGCCCGGGGTCAGCAGGGGAATCCCCAGCTGACCCCAGGTTCCATGCAGCATTTCCCCAGAACCTGGGGTTAGCTGGGGAGTCCTCAGCTGACCCTGGGCTCCATGGCGCTTCGGCGTTTTAAATGCCGTCTTGGGGTTTCAAAGCGGCAGTGCCACACAGCTGATCCCCGGCTCAGCTGTGCAGTGCTGCCGCTTTGAAGTACCCCTTCTCTATCCTCCCCTCCCCCTTTGCTGCCTCTGTCTGCTACAGGCAGCAAGGGGGGGGGGAATCGACTAATCCTTAATATCCTTAGCATCAACATTGCGTAAGTTTGACTGGAACAATTAGTACCAACAATTATATAACGTAATGCATGCCCAGAAATAATTTTAATTAACAAATGTAGAGCTATTGTGAATATTGGATATACCAGCAAATACAATGAACATGTGTGAAAGATCTGTGTGCAGAACTAGCTTTGGCATGCATGAAGCTAATAATTACAGCTAAGCACCTTTGAACCAGTCTGTCATGTAGACTATAGCATAGTACTTCTCTCGTTTGCTGACTTCAAGGTGACCTAACATCTCTTCTTTTTTCTTCAGGGTAAAAGTGATGGGCAAAAGGTGTAATAGAGGTGAAAGGCAATCCTCATCCTGACCAAGTTTGTTGCTGTGTTGTTGGCAGAGGAGTTGGGGGTTGCCACTTGACTGGGACTATGGCAGTTTTCATTTGCCAGGCACTAAAAGGGATGGGGAAAAGTGCTGAAGTAGCAAATCCTGTACACAACTGGTTTGATCAATAGTAGCAGCAACATGATAGTAAAAAGTAACATTTTAAAAGGGATTAGTTTTTAGCAATGTATTTGTTTTAACTGAAAGCTGCAGAAATGTCACATTTTTCCAAAACAGTTTAAGAATGATGAAAATGCCCAGTATTTTGTACTCTTACTTATGGGGAGGCCTTCAGAATCAACTTTATACTACTTTGATTTCAACCTTAAAATTGTTTATTTGGCTCATGAAGAAGAGTGGGCCCCAAAATATTGAATATTGTGATGGGCCAATGATGAGCATTTTCTAAAGTGTTCCCAGGACAGAAGCCTGTGGTGGAATTTAAACTTCATTTTGACAATTATAACTGGATGACTAATCTTCTTTTTGAGATTTGTATTTGTATGGAATAACTATAGGACAGCAATTTCAATTTTATTTTTCCCATTGTAACTGTATTTTGTATTTTACTTTGAAATTAGGCAGCAACTTAAATTTAAAGGAAGCATACCTCATGATGAGAGACCAGGAGGGGTTGAGTTGTAACCCTGACTGAAGGGTCATAGAATCTATACTGTGAAGAACCATATGATATACAGCAAATCACTTTGTGTCTTGATTTTTTTGAAAGTATGTTTAAGGAAGGTAATAAAAGTGCCAGGTATTGTCATAAATATTTAAATTGTAGCTGAGGAAGACTGTTTTACTAGAACATGATGTAGTAACTGTATCCTGCACTAATACATGGGGGAGGGGCAGAGCACTTATAATCATGTTATTGGGGAATATACTCAAAGCTGTTACAAAAATAAAATGTCTTTTTAGACCCTGCAATCTATTATAAATCACTCTCTTCTCTGATTTGCCACTGAACCTCATCATCACTACATATACTCCCAACCAGCACTGGACTTCTAACCCATCTCCCTTATTAACCTGTTCTTTAATATTTCTGTGTCCCCATGCTGCTGGCCCTTGCCACATGGGAATATTTGTATCATCCTTTTCCCTAGTTTCTTCAATCCCTAGCATAACCCCACCTAATTAAATTTTAAATTAATCTCTTTTCTATGTAATATCTGGGATTAGCTGAGGTCACATGTTAGATACAAGCATTATGCAAATTCACCCTTGTGGACTATTGCCTTCATAACTCCCCATCACTTATGACCCCCAATTGAATTGTTTCTCAACTGTACAGTGATTATTCAGCTCTTTGCATTGTGGCTAATAGCCCTTAGTCAGTCAGAGTACCAGGATTTATAACTATAGTTATCATGCAAATTAAAATCTCTCAACCAATCAGACTATAGTGAATTTCATAATTGAGGACTAACCATATATTTATGGGTCAGTAACTATATAGAAACTCTTGGAATCTGAATGGCTAAGATGGTTCCATTTTCGGTGTATTATCAATACTTATACATCTTTAAATTCTTACTCTGACATCTGGCAAGGAAAAAGATAAAACCCTCAAAACAAGAGTGAAATTGTCAACGTTTATATACTGTATAATATTTTCAGTCAGATGTACTTTATTCTGAAACATTCAATTTTTCCTTTTCTTTGTGTGCAAGATTCATACATAATAATGTTGGCTTACAATATTAAAGTATTGTATGGCTGAGCAATCACTATGCAACCCATCTCCTCCACAACAACCTAGTTTCAGATCTTAAATACTAAATATTACTAACTATATAATTAGGGAAAAAAATCTATGGAAGGAAACAAGCAATTAAAAAACCATGCCATCCCAAAAGGTGGACATTTTTATTAGCATCTGCAGATGTGTTAAACTTGAATACCTCTTCTCAGGTCTTAATCATTTTGTTTTCCCATTTTTGTAAACCCAGTTTATGGCAGTGTTTGTGAGACCTTACTGTAATGTGTTCTGGTTCTCTGCTGATTTGAGCTAGATAAAGAGAAAGGAAGAAAACTTTGAGTCTTGGTAGAAAGGACAATCAGTTATAGATAAGTTCTTGCCCAAGGAATTATTCTGAGATTTATCTGATGATGATGGTGACTGATGGCATCTCTTCCACCAAAGTACAGTAAAACTCCAATAGTCCAGAATCCAATAATCTGGCACTCCTGATAGTCCGGCATCAAAATGGCAAGAGCCTAGTGAGTGAGCTTCGGCAAAAAATGAGTCACAAAGTAACAGCGGCAGCAGCCGAACTGAGCAAAAAGGGTAAAAAATGCTTAAAAAACTAAAACATTACAGTATACTGTATACAGTATGTACAATAAAAAGGGTTAAGAACACTTTATATACAGTATATAATGTATACAGTATATATATAACCAGCTTATAGTACCTCCTGATAGTCCGGCATATCTGATAATCCGGCACCACCTAGGTTCCATAGGTTCCGGATTATCGGAAGTCTACTGTAGCTGCTGAATCATACCATGCAGATCTATTTTGGAATGTGAATTGCCTTGTTATATTGCCACACATTTCTAAGAATCTTGCATTAAAGAATTAGCCACTTTTTGTGGAAAATCCGAGATATCCTTTCAGAATGTTAGGAACCAACAGACATATAAACATCACGTAAAGCAGGGGTGGGAAATGCTTTTTTGGTCAGGGGCCACTGACCCACAGAAAAATCAGTCAGGGACCACAAGCAAGCGAGAGGCCAAAAAAAAAAAAAAAAGGCAACCCAACCCCAAACCTCCAACCTTTCATTGACATTCCCTCTGACAGAGAAGGAGACACTCCCCACATGCCCCAGGCTAGTAGATTTTGTGTGCTCCAGCCCTATGATGGAGTGGCAAGGGGCTGGAGTGCCAACTTAAGCTCCCCAATGCTGGGGGGAGCCCTGAGCCTCGGGCTGGATCCAGGCTAGTGGGGGGCCACATTTGGCCCCCACGCTTGATATGTTCCCCACCTTTGAAGCAAAGTGTTATCAACCTAGCACAACAAGAGGCACTACAGAAAATGTAGCCCTCATCTATTACTTTGATCCCTGACTGCTGATTCTCTTTCACAAGCCAAGTGTATGAGACCTATTAGATGAGACTAGTGCCATTTTCTCTTGAGAAGAAATTCTATCATCCTACAGTAACCCTAATCCAACCAGCACTTAAACCATTGCTTCAGGCAACTGTTCTCTTTACCACTCAGTGTGTAAGCTCTTAAGTAGTTTGCTTAGAAATAGGGAGGCAGCCCTTGGTGAGCTTCATCTTGTTTTAATATTCCAATACCCTGGACCTCTTCCAATCAGTTTTCATTCAGATATGAAGCAGACATGGTGCTGGTGGCAATGAGGAATGTTTTGGTTATGGACAAGGTTTGTATGGCAATGTTCACTTTCACTTTTCCAATTCATATATAGAATACATTTTGTTATGTGCACTGAAGCATGTGCAGATTTGCACCACCAGTAGAAACACTTGCTGCCGGCTGTCGGCACTTTGCTAATCAGTTTGCCTGCACCTGAATGTCTCTTGGGTGTCCGTCTAAGTGCTCAGCTAACACAGAACACTGCTATAGCCATGTTGGACTGCTTTGTCAGTTTTGATGTAGTTGACCATAGCCATTGGCTCCTCCACCTCAAAAAGTTCTTATTGGTAGAGTTCTACAGAGATCCATTAGGAAGCTACTAAAGGAAATTATGCAACAATATTGATTAGATCAGCAAATTACAAATGAAACCCAGCTCTTATATCAAAGACAAATAGCACCATCTCCCACCTATCAAGGTGCCTGACCAAGATCAGCAACTAGTTAGTGAGGTTGGCTTTAAAACTGAATCTCGAAAAGACAGAATGATACTGTAATGGTAGTGGGGGAGGAGGGAGAGACAGACACATACAATACACTATTGATTACATACATGCCTGAAATCAGATTGCTTAAAGTGTGCAAAGACCTTTTGCCCAATTCAATTCCTTGTTGCTTCTATCTGTATCATATAAGTAGACTGCATTGTGTTCCACACATTTGATGATGATTCTCTGGACCTTGATAAGCTGCTGAAATTGAATAGTTCAGAACAGAGCAGCCAGTCTGCTAAGCAAAATAAAGCACTTAGAGCATCTTAACCAAGCTTTCTTCTCCTTATTAGGATTTCATTGAATAACAGGTCAGAATAAAGGTTTTGGCCTTCATCTTCAAAGCTCTCCATAGAACTAAACTGATTTTATTAAGAACCACTTCAAGTGACCTCCCACAATCTAGAACTTGCTCCAGAATGTGTAATCATGAGCTCTTAGCAATTTCAGAGCAAAACTGACCCCTTTCAGTCTAACCTTTTCACAATAATAGCCCACATTCTTGAAATCTGGTATTGTCTTTTGTTTGTTGTTGTTTTTCTGATCTGCGTAAAAGGTTTGAATGTATTTCTGTGTAATTCAAAGTTTTGGGAGGTGAGTGCTCCTGGTTATCATATGTGATAGATTGATATTTCTGAGAACAATACTAGTTCAAATGTGGATATCTTTTAAAGCTGTGTGCATCTCATTTTAGCATTTGGATAGATACCTGGCTTTCTGCCCTGGCTCTCTGGCTTCTCTCACCACTGACAGTCAAAATGAATTTATTACAGGATTACTCTACTCATTTAAAGTGAAAATTATAATTTACTGCCTAAATTGTATCTGTTTTAAATGATTTATAAGTAGAAAAGTTGTCCTTGCTAGTACATATTTTGGAGGATCGTATGAGGAATGGAGGGTCAACATCTGGAATTGTATCACAACTAATATGAGTAGATATTCCAGGAAAGCTAGTTAACATTTTACCACAGTACAAAGGAAAGTGGGAAATTTTGAGAACTAATACTCTGCAAGTGTTAGTCGTGAATCGCAAAGAACCCAGATTACAATTACTTTTATACCTCTACTGTCTTCCTAACTTCAAAGTCTCATCATGCTGAGGGACCTTATTCTTAGACACATTTCAGAGTTCTTCCTGAAGGAAAGGTAAAATATGAGACTTGAATTTGTATTTACAATCAGTCACATTAAACAGCTGCTAGAAGTACATGACACTCTTCTCTGAATGCCTCACATGTTGGCTCATCTGGCAGGCCAGATAGAAAGTTTGATTCCAATTTAATGGCTATTTTTGACAGAAAATATTCTAATTGTGTTTGTGCAGTATGTGCAGCCAAGCTAAGAATGAATTAGTAAAATGAGATGTGTTTCCTGAGATACTAACTGTTCTGATGTATTTTTTTGAGGAAAAAGGTATTAAGATTCTGAAACTCACTCAGTTATTGAAATTTTTCCTACTCTATTTTCTCTGTTTAAGTTTCCTTTTTCAGTGATTTTGTATGACCTAATCACTTGAACAACCTCCTCATTCTGTATTAATTGTCTTATTTTATTTTTCAGATTGCCTTTTGATTTTTCTGATTAGACACATGGCAGGGCAAATTACTGTATTTCTGTAATCCTGTCACAATATCTGGGTCCTCTGAAAAGGTGTTTTAAGCCTATCCTATGAATGGAGAAAGACTGTCCTTCCTTGTCTCCTGTCTCTAGACATTTAATCCAAGAGGAATACAACAATTACATCCAATTGCCATGAAAATACCTCCCCAAAAATAGAAGTCTTGCATCATGATCTGAAAGTCATAAGATGTGAATTCAGTTCACATCTTATAGAAATCAACTTTACAGATACTGGTCCTTCAGCGCTACTTTCTGCTCCCCCTGCATGGATAATATCTTACTAGTATTTGAAGTCGGTTGAAAAATCTGACTGCTAGTAAGAACACAGTAGAACCATCTAGATTTAGCTGTGTCCTCACATGTCTAGTCCAAACTGCCTGGTGGTTGAGATGCAAACCAGAAGTGTGAGTTAGTCTGTGATTTAAACTTGAAAGGCCATCAACAGATCCAGCACCAATCTTGAATTTATTTGCAAGATCTTCAGTTTGGGGCCTACCAATTCCTCTTGCACAGAATTTTCAAGTAGTATTTTAGGAAGGTGTGTGACCCTGGGTGTGATTTGGAAGCAATAAATGTTTGAAATAGATGTCTCTGCCATCACAACCAGTATGGGGGGAGGTCACAAGGTCTGTATCCCAAGCATGTAGTATATCCTAAGATTGCCCAATCACCAGTATGTAGCACTTGTGCTCTGTGCCCACTATGTTTTATTATGGAAGAGATGCAAGGGGAAAGGTGTGGTAGCTACGTACATAGCACCTACCAAAAGGCATCTATATGAACATTTAATGCTCTGGCTGGAGGTGATAGATATGAAGCTAGAATTAGAACAACAGGATAGCACAGATGAGAAAGAAGTGGACCTTCTCTCTCCCTTGCTGTTCCCACAAAAGCATTAGCCACAGAAGTGCTATAGTAGAGTAAAGCGGATGTGTTATATGTCAGAATGTGACACTATGCAAGAAGGCAAACAATGTTTGGACCAAGATTACTACTGCTTTAAGAAATGAGAGAAGTAGTCTGACAGTTCAGACACAGACTATTAATTTTTAGAATCAGAGTTGAATGAACTTTATATGTTGGATGTTCCCAAAAGAGGGTGTGTGTAGAGGGTAAGGGGAGTAAAGACAGAGATGCTACGTTTCTTTTAGATAACCTAGAAAATTAAAAACACAACTGCTACTAGTAGTAGCATGGCTGTGTCACAGAGGATAAGAAAAAATGTTTGATGGAAAGATATGAGAGACGGTGAAAAGGGCTCTATAAGTAAAAGAAATGTTTGAGGAAATAGCCATATAATCCCATACAGCCATATAATCCCATACAGCTCGGCAACATAAATCAGAGATCCTATCTACAGAATTTCAGTCTACTTGACTATATAGTAGAAAGGGCTTAGCTCATAGCCATTAGTCATATTTACAAGTTTCAAAGGACTGACCAGTGTTCCACAATTTAACAAATCACTTAAGTATGTTGCAAATCCTCCTAATGCACAGTACCACGGTTAACATTTTTAAGGCAAAAATTGCTTCAAATTCTGCTTTCAGTGGCTTCTGTGCATCCTCACTGGCATAACTAAGTTTGCACAGATGGAACAGGAGAATTTGGCTCAACAAATGTGTATCCATTGCAGACTACATGATGATGACAGCTCACTAAGAGGTATTCCAAATATCTGCCCA